ATGGCTGACAACACTTGAAGCAAAATTTCTGGAGGATGTGCTTTGGGTTCTCACTGTTGTTTAAGAATTTTCTTATTATCTTGAAGTTTTCTGTTGTCTCTAACTTCCTCTACCACTAATAATATTGAATTATTGCAAGGCGCATGGCATTTTTGCTTTTGCATTTGCAGCTCTTTCAGTTAATGCTCCCTCCACCTCCCCTTGTATCATTTGTCCGCTGATGGAAGTAGGGAAGATGTCTCTAAAAGATTATGAGTACCCTGGATCTGTTGTGTGAAAGCTACAGCATGGCCAGTCCTTAAAAATGGCTAAACCCACCATCTGGGCTCCATGCCCCCAGCTGGGGTCTGCCTGCTGCAAAATGGGATCACACTGTGCTGAATGGCCACAAGGCCATGAATGAGGGGCTCCCTGCCACCCTGGGTAAGGTTGTGCCTGGGCTGCTGACATTTTAATCAACATTTCATAACTAATTGCCGGGCCACAGCTATCTTGTTATCAATTAACATAGTCCTGAATGTCAGGAAGTAACTGTATCTCTCGAACTCACTGAAGCTGCCTTCTGGGTCTGTGAAATGGCTGGATTTCCTCACAGGGATGGATTACATGTTTACATCTCCCCTTCTGCTGGGAGTGCGTCGTGAGGATGACCCAAGGAAGCAACAATAACGTCTTTATGTTCCCTCTCTGTCCTCCTCGTCTTGTATACGCTATCGGGCTAAAAAAGTCCCTCGTATGTGAGTGGAGCAGGCTAGAAGACACCCACGTTGCAGACACTGGACTGCCTGAATCCAAGAAGTTAGAGGAAAAAAATATTAAGCAACGGCATTTGAGAAGCTTTTAAGAATGGACACTTTTTCCAGACATCAGGAAATGCCCATAAATGGATGGGATTGTTTCAATGATCCTATCAGTCCAGGAAGCATTGCTGTCTCTGAAGCTGGAGGATATCTCCTGCCATCAGCAGAAGCTCTCACACGACACTGACCCGCTCTAATACTGTCCAGCTTTTAAAGTCTGATATTCTGGGACGTGGGACTTTCCAGATGAGGATAAATACGACCCACTTAGAAAACTAAGCATCCCCTCTTCTGAGCCCAAAGAGGCTACAGCGTGGAGGGTGGCTTTTTATCTCTTTGTGTGGGTGAGGGAAGAAGGGTCATTGCAGTTCTGTTTCAGCTAGTTCCTGGTTGAATGGGCCACGGGGAAGGACAAGTGAGCAGAGGGCTCTGTGACATGGCCCTGCTGTTTGTCACAGGGTATGACCTTATATATGCAATAAGGTGGACTCATCCTGCGTGCAGACCATGGCTGCTCATTTGCCTGCTTGGGCTACAGGAAGGGCAGAGCTTCTTTACGGAAAGTTTCTGCCTAAAAGCCAGAGCAGCTGAGAGGGGGACGATGCAGATGGTGCTAATTTCCAGAGCCCTTATGTTTGGAGGGACCCCAGGTACCCCCAGAAGAATTCTTTGTTTTCTTAATGTTCATTTTCAAAGATGCTCCGGAGGTCTCCTCTTTGCAGGAGGCCGCTGCTTCCCTCCCACTCGTCCACTCCTGCCTGACACGTTTGCTCCGTCCCCCGCTGCTCGACAAGCGCCGCAGCTGGATAAACAGCCATCGCAGGCGCTTACAGCCCTCCGGTGCCTTTCGGCGAGACGCCGGCACGAAGAGATGCTTCCTGAGCTGCCCGTGGTGGGCGGACGGTCGTGCTGTAGCCTGCATGCCAGCACCAGCATGGCTTTGGTCCCGGCAAGATCAGGTTCAAAACACACAGAGTCTGGAGGTGCTAATTACAAATGTGGGCTCCCTGCTCTGCACAAGGCTTGAGGAATTTGGTGGTCTGGGAGCTCTGGATCTGCCTGGTGGCGGGGCTTTGCTATGAAATGGGCTTAGGAATGTTCACGGGAGCTTTGATACCTGCTCTGTTGATTCATTGTCCCTTCCCTGCTGGCTGTTCTTGGAAAGGGGATCTAGCTCCTCTCCTAAGCAGCAATGCCTCTGTCTCACCCCAAAAGAGCCTAATGTAAATGTGGGAGAGGAAGAAACCCCAGAGGTGTAATCTGCACTTGTGGCTGTCGAGATTGTTGCCTCTTTGTTGTTTGTGGAGCTCTTTGGAGTTGACCACCATGGAGACCTGGTGGCAATCAGGCCTTTTTCTACACAGCTGCCCCGATCTGGGAGCATGGGGGACAATATGTGGTGGTGTCATGGTGACTCTGTTGCAGTTCATATTGCTTTCATGAAGGCTCCCGTGCAGCCTGGTCCACTTGTAGGTGTGCTCCCTTGGCTTACAGGGTTGCCATCATCCCTGACCAGGCCAGGGCAGCTCTGCCAGACCACTGGCCAGGGGCAAGCCTGGTGCACTGCATGCAGCACGGCCAGTGCTGCCCGGCAGAGGCTGGCTCAGCCTGGCCATGGGTGGTTGGAGGGGTTGAGAGTGGAGGCGCAAGGATCCCCTCCCTCCTTTGCCCTCTCTTTCCCCTAATGTGCCTTAAATTACTTCTTGTTATATTAAAGACTGAGCCTCTTTAGAAGCTCTGCTTGGCCTTCTCGTTAATCACCGTGACAGAACATGACAAATCCACTTTGCTGAAACGTTATTTCACTTTGTAAAATCCCCCGTGCTTTGCAACAGCTTATCCAGCAGCACCTCCTCCCTCCTCACTGTCCTCGGGACATCTTCCCTCCTCCAGCCCGTCTAAGATGATGTTGCTTTTAGATGTGACTGTATCTGAGGGGTTTGCTTTCTCCTGGCAGTCCTGGAGCGCTGTCCGTGGACAGTCCTGGCATTTGAAGCCCAGTCCCTGGATGGTCTCTACTTGATTGACTTATTGCAGCCAAGACTCTGTCCCCGCAGCTCACTGATGTGTGTTTACACAAGACTGCGCAGCCCACCCTTCACATAACCATTAATTTTATAGAGGGCATATAACAAAGATGGGCCTCCAATATGCCTCCTGCCTTTGATCTGTGTGGGGTGTGCGGCCTGATGGGCCCGGCGCTGCCGGCGTTGCTGATTTACTCTGCTCTGTGGATGTAGCTTCTGGAGCAAACAAAAGCTTATGTCCTCTCTCAGCGGTATTGCAATACCCTCACAGGCTGTGCTGCTGTCTGGCCGCGTTTGGCCTGGAAGGGCAGGGATGGCTCAGAGTCTGCTTGCCTTTACACTTTTCTTTCAACGTTAGCTAAACGATTCGGTTCATGCGATCAAACGGGTGCCCCAAACCAGCGCAGACGGGTAGGCGGGTTATTAAGGGTCTATAGTGTTGCTAATGGAAATAAAGTCCGTGTATTGGCAAGCTATAAGCATTGACCCTGTGACAGGGTGCTCACTCTGAAACAAAATCTCTCCAAAGCACTTCTCTCACAGAACTTTATTGTCATCCAAGCCAGACTCAGAAAAACTCTTTTTTTTTTTGTCTCCCAGTCTGGCATAAATTAGGATCCCTGGATCTGATTCTGACCTTGCCCTCCCAAATGAACTCTCTGATCAGAAACCTTTTTGTTGTTTAGAATTGGCATACCAAGTAGGATAGCGACCTCGGCACCAACACCGGTGATGGGTGATTGCTGGAACAATCAAATCTGCCAGAACAACCCCTGAGCTCCTGTCCTAACTTTGGGTGGAGTTGTTTTGAGTTGTTGAGCCTTCTGGCTGTGAATGTTGACCTTAGCTCTGTTTGTTGTTCACCATGAAGGTGCCAAACTTTGTAATGTTTATTATTTTAGCTAAAAGGTACCCTTTAGAGCTAACCTCTTTTGATCAACTACGATGAAAGCTCAGCAAAGAGTGGCATTTGACAGTGCAATTGTAGGTCACAAAAGCTTGATAGCCAAACTGTTTGCTGTAGTCCCCTGTATCAAGGAGCCACGCTATGTGAGAGATTGCCAATGCGGAAACTGTTTGTTTATCCGAAATCCCCAGTTTCTTTTATGGACTTTCAGCCAGGGGCATTTTCAGGATGACGAAGTATTCTGCAGGTGCTCACTGTGACATCCACCTCCCGTGCAAAGAAGAGGTTGCTGCCTGTTATCTGTCAGCTCGCCTGTTATACTGCTTAGTCTTACTTCTTGGCACTTTACGTAAAGAAGGGAAAAAAAAAAAAAAAAGAAAACAGAGTGTCCATAAAGTATGGAAAATGTAGAAACCCCTGACAGTTGTATGGTGTGTCTTGCTTCTCCCACAGAGAGGAAACCACAAAATAGTGAGTCCAGGGGTTACTTTCCACACACACAATATCTGTCAGGATTTTGAGGAATTTTCTGGGAACTGATGAAAGAAATGTGCTGTTTAAGCCCTGATATATACTCTACAGTGGTTCTGTATGAGGAAGATGCAGTGCTGCACACTGGCAGCTTCCAAAATAAAAGAAACCCAAAGGATTTGAGGGGATTTCTTCCAAGAGGGCAGACCGGCTCCTGTGGGAACAGAAGCAGAAACAAAGGGGAAAATTGTACTAAAGAGAAAAGGTACCTGATGTATTTAATAGCTGTAGTTTCCCCATTAACCTTTTCATGCCTTTGCAAGATCACCGATGCTGATGGAAAATGCGTAGGCATTTTAGCAGCAAAGGGGCTCTCACCTCCCCAGTTTCAACTTCCTCAACCCCAAGGGGGTGGGCAGGATGCAAGGGGGAGTCAGGCAAGTAATGAGTTCCCCATGCTCAGTGGTGTCACGCTCAGGGAGGAGACCCCTGTGTGCCAAAGGACCAAAATTGAGTGTAACAGTGTCAAGAGCCTGACTTACATGGCCTTCCCAACACCACAGGGCTTTCAGAGGCTGCCCGGCACTCACGGTGAGTGTAAGCAGCGCTGCTAATTGTGGGGATCCTTAGTTAATAAGCAGGGAGTTGGTGGAAGTGCATCAGCAAATGGAAGCAGCATCAGGATCAACCCCAAAAGCTGGTACAATGTGTTTATCTAAGCCCTTCTTTTTAGGATTTATTGTAATTAAAAAAAAAAATAATTAATTATTGCTTGTTTTTCTTTCTCTCTTTCAGGTCCACCTGTAAGTTCCAATCCTCTATGGTGTTAGAAGCTGTTGACAGAGAGTTTGTGGGGCATGAACTAGGAAAGTCTCCTGTCTGTGGTGCCTGGTGCGGTGGCCGCCTTTGCCGTCCTGGCACCCTGGGACCTCCCAAACAGCAAGTACTGCGGGTGCTCTGGACCCGTATTGAGGGGGGGGGGATTGCTCCTCGGCTGCGTGGCAGCTTCTGAGGGCGAGCTGGAGGGAGCACAGGGATGGGGGTACATGGCAAATGTGAGGGATGCAGATATCTGTGTGTTACCAATCGGCCCCACATACATACCCCAGGGGAACTGGCTGCGTGCGCTTCACATGCGCTGGATGCCACAGGCTGCACAAGACGCGTTTGCGAAAAAAAAGGAAAGATAGATCGCAAACACATGGCAGGAGCTGAGCTGTAAGGGACTTGCTCCCTGCTACTCAACCCGGGCTTGCTGAACTGTTGGGCCTTCAAGTATATAGCTGCACAACTATCAATTTCAGAGGAAAAATTGTGTTGACAGCTTCCTTTTCAAATGTTAGCTAATGCAAAACCTCAGCGCAGACGATTCAGGCTTCAGGAAAATAGCTAGGTTATTGCAGAAGTTTTCTTACAGCTATTAAGAGACCCACAGTGAACCAGAAGAAGCAATGTGAGGAATGAGGCCATGTATCGACATCTCTCAGGATTATAAAGAAATGCTATATTGTCTCTAACACAGTCCTTGCAGAGGAAATGGTTTATACTCGTGTACAATAGAGTAACTATACTGGGTTTCTGTGAAGGAACATGAGAAGTTAAACATACGGTAGTCATCTTTTGTCTGTTCACGCAAAAACGTCTTAAACGGTTTGCAGATGACGTTCTGAGGAGAAGTAGTTGCTGCACAACCTATTTTCCCCTTTCATCGAGTTGAAATGCTATAGACTGAACTCCCACAGATATACGAGCGCAGCCCGATTTAATGATAACAATTTTCCAAAAAGTTGCACCGTCCAGGCCAAAAGGTCTGAAAGCATTTTACAGCTGGAAGTGCGGATCCACGCAACCCTTCAGCCATAGCTTATCCCAGGGGCTTTCAGGACAGGCCACTGAAGTGGCTGTATTTCAGTGTTAGCTTTGGGTTAACTGGGAGGAAAGTGCTGCTCTGGAGGGGGCTGCCAGTGGAGTCCGTCCAGAGCTGTCCTTGCCACTCCACCCTGGCAGGCACATGTTGGCACTAAAGGGATGGGGCACAAAATTGGTAAAATGTTGGCATTTCTATTATGGCTGTGAGAAACTGGAGAGAAATCACTAGGTCAATGCAGACATCTCCTGGAGAGCAGTCTGTGCCTTTGCAGGGTGAGGAAGACGCACGCTCCAGGCTTTCTCTGCAGCAATAAGGGTTAGAAATTTAATATCGTAGTGAAAGATTGAAGTCTGGCAGAAACACATGGGACCACCAGAGAAGTGCTGACAATATATGCTACCATATCCCGGCTTATTGCGACCCCTGAACCTGTCTCTGCACGCAGACTTTAAGGAGAAGCCACGAGCAATGCTACAGCCAATGGAAATAACAAGAGGAAGTCGGGCAGACCAAGCATCGTTAGCCAACATGGAATTCATCTTAGACTACCAGCACCTTTGTCTCATTCTGGTCTTATAAGATTTCAGATCAGCAGGCCAGCGAGACCGGCTCAGTCACCGTGAGCAAAAATTCACTGCTTACGAATCAAGCAGAGTCCTCCAGGTCACTATAGGAAATATTGTGTCCCCCCCATATTTCTTGTGATTAAAGCCCTCATGGAAATTCATCTATGAGCAACAGACCTGGGCTCCTGCCTGGCTGGTTGTCATACACAATGTCCTGGATAGTGAGCCCAAAGTGCCAACAACCTCACATCTCTCTTGTGGTGTTGTTTTTTTTTTCCCAGCTTGCAAAACACAACATGCCAGGGGCAGGGCTTAGCCCCCGGTGCTGGTGTTGGTTTCTGTGTGGGGATGGGCAAGAAATTATCATTAGAAACGTTCTGAGCCCTGCTTGTACTCTAGAATGACCAGGAGAAAAGCTGGGGAAATGGATGAACACCACCCCAGCAGCCAAAGGGGCCTTCATGCTCTCCTCTTGCCCAACAGATGCTCGCATCGTTATTCTTGAAGTCAGTTGAGGCTTTGGTGAGCGCAAGGGCAACCCGCAATCATGTAAGAAATTTGGTGAGATTGGGACTAAAAGGGGCAAAGGAAGGAAGGAAATGATGAAATCGTGCAATAGTCCTGAGGTTCCCGGACTCTTTCGCCGTCTGGACCACATCCGAAGGAAAAGATCCTCTCACGGACATTTTCTCTCCCATTTCTGAATATGCAACATTTCTGTGGCAACTGCAGCAATTCCATACATGAAAAAATAATATTTAGCAGATGGAAACTAAGGAAGAAAGTCAGAGCCCTGTAATTAACTCATTCTCCTTGGACTTGCAGATACCTTCAGAGCCCGTGCAGAGAGCTGCGGGCAGAGCCGTGCCGAAAGGGGAGAAAACTTAACAAACAGGAGATTAGGAAACTGAAGCAATCAGAGCTGATGGTTAAGAAGCTGTGGAGAGTTTTTTTAACCATTCTGTTTCCTAAACCCTTACATGTGATTTGGTCCCTTTGTCAAGCCCTCTCTTCAGAATTTGAGGCTAACTTTTGCCCTTTCTGTGTATTTTATTTCAGGGCCCTACAGGAAGACCGGGGCTCCAGGTAAATACTTTGTTCTTTCTTTTTCATTCCCTCATGCTCTCTGTCTGGCAGTATTTTCATCAGTAGGCCTCCGGGGTTCGTAAGATGAGAGAGGGTAGTGATCTTGCATATTGAACCTGATGTGGAAGAATAGCTTATTGCAAACAGGACGTGGCTCGTAACGGAGTAGGGACCACAGGAGCTTTGTAGGAGCAAACTTAGGGGTCATATAATCGCTACGAACCCTCCTGCATGTGGGAAACACTCTATTTCTGAAGATGCCTTTGTTAACTTTGAGAGTCTGGTTGAAGAGGCAGAGCATGCAGCATTCTTGCTGACGGGGCTTGCTAATTGCAGCAGGATTTAAAAGCGTAAATCGCTCTGGGACAAATGCAAAAGTCCATAATAACAGTATCTGAAACTGAGAGAGGTAGTTGTGAGTGAGGAAGGAGTGTGAGTTTCAAGGTTACAGCTGCATGCTTTCCTGGGGATGCTTTCCCTGCCCCGTGGGCTGCTGCTCACCTGGAGACTGCGACAGCCATAACAGGCAGTTTCCTAATGAAGGGAATGCAAACTGTGCTGCTGGCTCTCCCCCCAGGAGACAGGGGCTGCTTCTTGCCTTTCATACCTCTCTAACTCCAACGTGGGGAGCTGCAGGCAGCTTTTGCACGACTTCGTAACCACCCTACGTGGTATCATACACCCAGAACTTTTTCCTGGCTCCCTGTCACAGACAACCTTTCCTTATAAACATCTGGCATTTATTTGCTGTCCTACTGGGAGCTCCCCCTTTTGCTGCTATTGCTTGGAGGGCTGTAACACTGCGCAGTCACATACAGGACACAGTGCCATCTTGTACCACTCCGACACCAGGTACCTGCTGGAGACCAGGCACAGCTCAGCCCTGACCTCAGGCTCCTCCTGCTCGGGCATCAGCTGTGGCAGAGACAGGAGAAACACAATCAGCTTTTACCTCAAACAGGGAGGGAGCTCAGTCTGAGCTGAGCTCTGGAGGAAAGCAGCGTTTAAAGGACTAAAAGCACAGGAGAACTCGGCATTACGTTCTCCAGCAGCCACAAAGTAATCCCGGGGCAAGATGCTGACCCCAGGGGTTTTGCTCGCTGCCGGCACACAGAGCAATATTGCCAGCAAATATTAGTGGGACTGAGAACCCGCCGAAAACCCTAGAAGAAAGCAGTTTCCCATAATATGTCATCTACAAAATCTTAAATCGAGCATCTGTTTAGCGTTTCATCCATCTGCAAGGGATGCTTTTGCAAAGCATGTATTGCTTTTCAATTTGTCAAAATATGCGCTGGATGGAAAAGAATGCCCCCAATACTGAATGCCCTCCCCCCCCCCCCCCC